CAAAACAGAGCGTGCCCACTCCGACCGGCTTTAAAGGGTTAAACAGCCGTGCCTGCCGTCCACAGCGTGATCAGTAAACGGCGTCTCCACCACGCCTGTTTCCATTTGAATGACTTATTTAAATACTATTACAGTATGTAAAACCTCAGCTTTAAGATAAACATCAAAGAATCCAAGTAAGAGAACAACAGTCAGCAAGCAAATGAGGAGCAGGGAGGCCTGTTTGACTTTACCCACTGGACTCTCTAAACAAACACCTATGTGAGTGTGTGCGCTGTGTGGGATCAGTGTGATGGTCACATTCTCCTCGCAGCGATCTGCTTCATCCATCTCTACAATCTGGAGATTTCACTCTCGGTCGAGCACAAGAGACGTGCCGACGACAGGCAGAGTGAGACGTTCCTGCAGAACCCGTCTGCGCCTCTCAGCAGCCACAAACCGGAGCTCACGCGCGGGACGTCTCGGATAGATGAATACATCTCATGGCGCCTGAGCATTTAGACGAAGCTGCAGGAGGAGAGCGGCACAGTCTGTTCCCCTGCCGGGATGATCCGTCTGCGAGCACGTTACTGTTCACAGCAAGGAAGACGTGGTACACACAGACGCATGCAGATGCACACACATGTAGAACTCAGTCAAGAACAAACACACCATACAAACTGGAAAATGGAGAGGCTGGTGAGTTGGTTGCTATAGTAACTGAAGGTCGCACTAAGCACTGGCTATGTACACACACACACACACACCTAGTTTCCTATTGAATCTTTGTGTGTGTTTCTTGGTTTCCACCTTTCACGTGCAGCTGAGCGTTCAGCTTTAAACACGTTGAGCGTGCAGCCAAGAACAGCAGCAGGTGCGAGGTCGGGCCAGAGAGGGACAAGCAAAGTTGATCAAAGCCTCACATGTTTTCTGAGTACAGATGCTTTAGCGTCTGATTGTTTTGGAGGTGTGTTTAGCAGTGCAGCAGAGGATAATCTGCCCATCACTAACAGCTGCAGAGCTGCGTTCTGGCTGGCTGCGTCGACGGCCGCTGGCAGCCAATGAGCACGAGTCATGAAAATGCAGAACCAATGGGGAGAGTGCAGTCAAATCTGCTTTTTAAACTGAGCACCAGGGGAAGCTGGAAAACACACACCCACACACACAAGAAAGAAAACAGAGGAGAGGAGAACAAAGGTTGTGACTGCGAGCACTTCATGAGCATGATGACAGCAGCGAGGTGTTTCCAGTGGACTCACTTAGATGCATAACCTGCACAAACATGCACATCCTTGTGGTTTGGCCTTTGAGACTGCTTGAGTGCACTGCAGGAAGCTCACATGCACGTGCAGGTGAACCATTGTAAACAATCACTTCATGTTTTTGAACATGTCAACATCACATACAGCTGCAGCAGGACACTGAAAGCCTTCTGACAGCTTTGTGATTGTAACTGCAGGACAAATCACACTCTGGCTTTAATCTCCTTTCTCTCTTTACAATAAAAAATATCTATGAACATTTGAAAAGAGTCGACAGAGTGATTCAGTGTGACCTTTAACCCCTGATGACTTCATAACTTTCACAAGCAGCTACACCCTCTTCCTTTCCTCTCCATCTCCCTCTAGATCTGTCTGAGCTCCAGTCTTACCTCCAAAAAGTCATGTCCACCCACACACACTTCTATTCTGCTTGCCAAGAAGTCTAATCTGATTTACTGAGCTTGACTGGAGAGAAAACATGCACGCTAGCCAAGCTAAAAAGACTTCTTTATCCCCTTTACCACCGACCTCCACGGCCTCACACACAGACGAGGAAGCGAGCACACAAACACACTTAGAACAAATAAGGAGATTTAAACTCAAGCCTTTCAGGAGTAACAGGAGAAAGAAAAGTTACATGTGACACACTGTCACCACAAACCAGCCCATCCTTTATACCACTTTGAGCACTTGTGTGTTTGTGATATTATTTGCCTCATCACATACAAACTGTAGGTCACGTAGAGCTCGAGGAACGAACAGGCCGAAGAACGCAGAGATACAAAGGGAGTGAATCGCACCATGAAGATGTGACACAAATCTGCACATCAGCTAAAGCACATCAGCTGGGGACTG